ACAGAAATCTTAATTTTTCAAAAAGAAACAAGAATTTATGTTACAGTTTAATACTAGACATCAATTTTGGCAATTAAATCAATTTGAATATTGATTCTCAAATATTCCCGCAACAATACCTACTTCTACGCACATTCCGAATATCCATATTCTTCATTTCATTCTCTTTCTCAAAATAATTGAAATCCCGCCTAACATCATTTTTAAAATGTTTTCATTCACTTCCTCTCCCTATATATACCACCTATCGTAAACCCTAAAACTCTACCATTCTCATTCACTAAAATGGTTTTAGTCCGCAGACGTTAAGCTGTTATAGTTCCATTTGCCAAATTAGATCAATCAAGTGAAGTTCAGAAAGTTAGAGCTACTATATTTTCACTTTGGAAAGTCAAGAATAGGCAGTCTAGCTTTGTTATAGAAATGGTATTGGTTGACGAAGAGGTTTGTATGCGATCTTATGTATTTTTTTTATTCTTATTTTAAGTAATCTATAGATTATATAGTAATACTATTTACGTGTGATTCACAGGACACTAGGATTCACGCTACTGTTGACGAAGAATTGATCGCAAAACATAAAGGGATCCTTATAGAAGGAAAATCACTTTCTATTAATTGCTTCATAATTAAAGAATACTATGATGATTTTAGGACGACTCCATTACCATAAGATCGCTTTGTGCAGGACAACCCGTGCTAAGGAGATTAAGATTTTCCATCAGATTTGCCAGAGAAATATTTGTCTGATTTCAAGTCAATCAAGGAAGACAAACTCGACAAAAACGTCCTCATCGGTATGTCATCATCTTGATTATGAAATTTATATTATAATAATGTACATATTTAACATTGTATACAAATATTTTTTCTTGAAAATGTCATTGGACAAATTGTCACCGTTGGGAGTATGGAAGTTATAAAAACTAAAAGAAAAAGTTGGATCAGCGAGAAATTAATGATAACACTTCGGGATACCAAGTAAGTAGTTATGATATCATACCAAAATAAACATAACAATATTTTAAAAAATTAAACGCTAATATGTTTACTGATGAAGCGATGTCCAACTGAAATGTACACTATGGGGACAATATGCTAAAGCAACTGTTGAGTACACTAATAAACATATGGCTGCTATTGTTGTGTGTGTAATGCGATTTGTCTGTATAAAAGAGTACAAAGGTTAGATCACGATATCCCCTATTCATATATATACAGTTTGTAGAGATTGAGTTTGGATTATTTTGTTAATTATTCTTTTTTATGTTTTCCGAGTATAAGTGACATTTCAATATCAAACACTTTTAACTCCACCAAAATTCTGTTTGATCTTGACTTCAAGATCATGAAAGACTTCAGAGAAAAGTATGTTATGTGACAATTTAAAATCATTTTAAAATTGTAGAAATTATATAATTATTGTTTACGTTTTTGTAGGTTGTCAAAAAACAATCAAATGATTGTGCATGCGGAACAGAGTTATTCGACTTTTTGGGGTGGTGCTATTGACTACCATGAAAAATTCTTAGGTTTGAAAAATAGGAGGCAGACGATAGCTGGAATTCGTGATACAAAAGTGGTATGAGCTATATATTTTGAAAATGGTATAAATATATTTACATTTAACTATATACATATTAATGGTTTTGTTATAGTCTGGCAAGATTGTCACATGCGTTACGGTCAAAGACGTTGACACTTCAAAGCTGTGGTATTATTGGGCATGCAAACCTTGCAACATCAAAGTTTTAGAGCATGGAATTATGTCTGATGATGAAGATTACGATAAGAGGATTCTTCTTTTCAATTGCAAGAATTGTGGTGATATTTATTCATATGATACCATTGTCGCAAGGTAATACAATGATTTGTCCCATAAAGTTAAGAAAACATTACTTATTAAGTATTTCTTAGGTAATATATCTAGCATATATAGCAGAATTATAAATATTGACTTTCTTTGATTGACTGGATAAAAGTTCGCCTTATTTTATTACATTGATTCGTCTGATCATACATTTATTCCGGCACTACATTACATGTTTATGATTGTAATTTTTAAATAACTCATTCTTCTATTATCTTTCAAACAATGTAGGTACTATAATGTATTATTTGTAATTGATGATTCAGACGTCGATGTCCGCCTCCTTATGTTTGATGACACTGCTCAAAGGTTGTTAGGTCATTCAGCTGAGTCAATAATGGAACAAAATGATGAGGTTATTTGTGTAATAATTGTATACATTATGCAATATTTACATTTTCTTAAACAATATTAATCCATTATATATAATGATGCACATGATTTACCAAGAGGGCTCCCTGATGGCTTGACAAAGCTCCTAACTATGAGGATGCTTTTCAAAATAACAATTTCAGAAGAACATACAAAAGGAAGCCAGTCTCCGTATATAGTAGAACTATGGTCTCAAGATGTCGACATTATAACTGAGTGGGATTCTCAATCAGAGGTAATATATGATAAACTTTTAAAAACTTCTAAAGCTCACTTTTTTCATCGTTTAGTTAAATTAAGACATCAACAATGTACCTATGTCTCCAGCAACCGTTGATGCTTACGAGTTCAGATGAACTTGAGAATCCATCGTCTGGATCTTCACTCACTCCTTATTCTAAGAAGGTAATTAAGAGTCCCGACTATTTGGATGTAGGTGAAAGATCTGTTAACAAAAAGCGACCGAAGCAAGAGATCCCAATGAAGTTATGAAGAAGCAAGACATCGTAATGAACTTATTGCAGAAATGCATTGCTGGTGATTGATTATTGCTTTTGATATTTATAACCAATTTGTCTAATGGGTGGATAACGTTTGAACTCTATTCCTTATTTTGTTTGCGGTTTTTGTGGAATCTTTTGGCGTATTTTATTTAATCGTGGAACTTTAATGTTGTCCTAGATTGTTTTTCCCTAATTATATTTTTTTTAAAACTTTAATTTGTGATTTTTTATTTCCAACCAACTGGCATAAATTTACACGAGAGTTTCAATTAAGACGACATTAAAACAGTAACCGTTTTACTCCATCACATAGAAAACTATTCATTTCCTTATTCTCTTTCATCTTCCATCTTTATAAAATTATTAAAACAAAGAATGTCTCCTTGTGAAAGACTTTCCGATCTTCAGATTTCAAACGGCGGATATCGTATTTGTTTTCAGACACTAAGAGATTATTATGATTATACTCTCTTCGATCGACCTAATCGGATGTTAGTTCTTGCGGATGAATTTGTAAGTTTTTCAAGTTTGAAAAGATTTATCAAACATATGTTTTAGGAATGTTTTCCTAAATTATTTATTTTTATAAATTGTGTAGGGCAATCGCATCCTGTCTACTATTCAATATGATATTATGGACAAATTCGAGTATGAATTGGTTGAAGGAGATTGGGTTTTTCTTGGTAATTTTGAAGTTACTGACAGAGTGATTCATCCAAGTATATCATTAAACAACTATCATATACATTTCCTCGAAGATACCATTGTTGAGAAAACCGATCCAAAGTCTTCAAGAGGAATATACTCTTTTTGTGCCTTCATGAATATTTTATATAGATTTATTTATACAGATAGATATCTTGGTATGTTTCTTACAACATTTTTTTTTAAATCGTTCATCTAAGGAACTCCAACATGTATTTAAAGACAGTCCTTTATTGTTGCAGTTGATCTTCTCGGCGTTGTCACATTTGTTCAGAAACTTCAGTTAGGAGTTCTTATGTCCGATACATCGGGCACACCCACGGAACGTCCACTTATTCGTTTAAAATTCAAGATTTTAGGTCTGTACAACTTATTCTTAGAACATCTGTTATTTGTATATTTTTTATAAATTTTAAAGTATAATAATAATGTTCTAAATAATTTAAATATACAGTGGAGGAACTTTGAAATGTATTGCTTGGGATAACTTGGCAAGAAAATTTGAAGATCTTTGGACGAATCGTGAAAGGTCTTCTAGGCATATTATTGTATTGCGATTTTTCTCTTTCACTAGATGGAGAGGTAACTATCTACCTCATTATTTGATATTTTTAATGAATTACAAGTTTTACATATATATTTTTTCCAAATAGTGAGTATGTCTATGTATATAGATGAATGGATAGTTGAATCGGAAAGATTCATATCTGATATTCTCGAGGATCCTCCTACCCCAGAAGTGGAAAGTGCAAGGTTGACGTATGTTTATTCCATCTTTGATATTGTATCCTATAATATAATCTTTCTAAATATATGATAGTTATATTTCTTATATTGACATAACGCTTATAATGATAAAAAAATCCTAATATTATTTCAGGTTGCATCTTCAAATGATTTTCCTCCGGTCCACGATCAATATGAAGACCAGTCTCAGTAAAAGAAGTTGTTGTTCCTTTTTTCTTATTTTTATAGTGTTATACCATACTTTTAAATTATTCTGATTGAGATAACTTATCCAATGAAAATATTTTATATTTTCTAAATAACAATTACATTTTTTGGGTATATTGTCGAGAATCGTACTCTATTTCTTTGATTACAAAAAATAACAATGATATTCAAAATTTGGATGGTCCGTGATTTGTGTCTGTATTAAAAAATAGAGTACATAAATTCCGGTATTGTACTCTCATTCATGATTTGTAATTAATGAAATGAAGTAATTGACTTAATTAAAAAGAAGTAGTCAGTACAAGATATGGCATTTTCCTACCATATTTACATATTTTACTATATATATTTAATCAATATAAAAGTTAAATATACCAATGAATTGAATGTAACCATTTTGGTTTGTTCGTAAGTCACTTAATGTAATAAATGTCAAAGGTTGCTATTTATTCGGATTTTACAAAACGACACATCCTTTCAAACCCTATACTTTCTATTGTTTTCCTATACATATAAAAGGACCAAGTAGAAAAACTTCTCGTCATCTTAACTAAAAACAAACCTAAAGTCCCAGAAAACAACCACTTTCCTCAAACATGACTCGCTATTGTGCCCTTGAGTATCTTTCTCCCACAAAATCTGACTCAAGAATCCTTATAAAAGTTCTACGAGTTTGGGAAAAATTCAACTACAGTAATCATCGCCAGGAATTGCATCTTATCCTCGGTGACGAAAATGTAAGTTCATATTTTGAAAATTTTTAATTCTGTTGCATGTTATGAACATTTAAACACATGAATCTCTGAAATGATTATTTGGTTCACGAATTTAGGGTTACAATATAGAGGCATCTATAGATCAGGATCTTATTTCTTCCCTCGGTCCAAAGTTTAAAGAAGGAGAATGGAATTATGTCAAATTCTTCAACGTTGTCAATGCGTTCAGATATTTCAGAAATACTATAAACTACCACTTCATCAACATGAACGCCGATACTGTTGTAGACAAGACGTTTCAAGTCAATTCTAAGCATATGATTGATTTTATGCCATTTGATGCCATTATTCGAGGGAATTTCCCTACTGAGTACTCTATCGGTTAGGCTTCTCACCTTTATTCAATTTAATATATAGGGTTATAAATATTGTGTAATGAAAATGTTTCTTGGTAGATTTGATCGGCGTAATCATCTATGTTGATGATGATCTAAGTACTGACATTGATGACCCATACGAGATGATTTTTGGACCTTCTCACAAATTGGACATTCAGATAAGGGACATGAAGTAAGACATTTTATATTATCATCTATATATGTAAAGGCCAATCTTTTTTCTTATAATTCAGAGTATTTATATTTTAGTTAATGTTGTTGTAATATAATTTTTGGTTTAGTTATAATGATATGGATATCGAACTCATTGGAAAGACTGCTCTGGATTTCTGGAAGAAGTGGGAAGACTTATGAAACAGTCTTGACTTTGCGCATGTTTCGTCTGACCTATGATTTCGAAGGTTAATAATAAAATTTTATAATCGAGTGAGAACATTCATTTCGACTTTGTTTATATGTTAATTTGGCTTCTAACATTTCTTCCCTTTATATTTCTAAATCATACAGGGAGACATCGCATAAGAAATGCTGGAGACCATTCTGAAATACTTTTCAATCCTCACATAAAAGAGGTTTCTGATTTTCTTGACTGGTAATTTTCTAATTGGTATTAATGTATATAATAAGTTATATGGGTTATTTTATTCTTTTTTCGATTGTTAACTTGAAATTATTTTATGTCAGGCTTCCTTTTACCGATATCCATGGAGATCCAAGCTGGCCATAACTTTAATCCCTCTACTTATATTTTAATACCAACTATTAAACGTTCAAACATTATGTAATATTTACCCATAAAACTGGGATATATTTGAACCTACTTTTGTATATTTGTAATGAAATATTTAGTATTTATTTATGGCAATGTTTAATTACCATTTTACTTGTGTCCTTTAATATCATTGTATTTATTGTTTATATATTTTACATGTATATATGTATAGTTTTGGATATAACATATATCATATATATATAGAATTCATTTGAATTTAGAAATGTTACTTCCTTTATAGACATTTTCTTCCATCCAATATTTCACATTTCCATAATAATAACATATTGCCAAATTATACAACTACAATATTTTAACGGCCATTTTTCATATTATGCCAAATTTATTACTATACTAATTTGTTACGGTAGACTTGGAAATTACATTTATTACGATCCTTTATGAGTTTCCTTATTTATAATTATGCCACGCGATGCAACTATAACGTTTCTTACGTAATTAACAACGTTTGCTCAGTATTGATTTTTTTTTGTCCAATGCGCACTATTGATCTATTAACAACTTTACGTGTAAGAGTAATTTTAAATTAATTCCGATTGACGTTTGTATTTCAGTGCTGACAACTACTGTTAAGCTTTTCTCATTACCTTTGGAGTTGAGTGTAAAATATTATATTCTGTTGCCTATGTTTTAATGTTTGTGGATTATAATGAATGTAGCAGATGAGCTTATAATCTTACGAATCAATACACATATATGAGAAAGTGAAGTGGGAGAAAAATTATTTTTATTTTATTGAAGATAATTAAGGTACAAAAAAACAGAGATAATATTAGCTAAACTTCGAAGTTTCGCCTTCCACGTTTATTCTTATGTGCCTACAATATTCAAAAACATATTACGTAGTTAACTTCAAACATATTAGTTAAACAAATCAATGTATTAATGGAATATTAACAGCTTACCCACATAGATATATCTAGGTAGCGGATTTCTGTCTTAACGAAGCCGCATTCTATACATTTCAAACCTACCTCCAGATCTAGATGGAGATCGTGTTTTCCGTTCTTGCAACGTTCCTTTGGATCATCAGTCGATTTTTCTTCATCAAGCTGCAGATATTACATATTGATATGAACATCCAATAATACAAAAATCATCAATAAAACAGAATAATTTAAAGTTTAAATCACCTCAGAAGGAACCTCGATGGCTTTCGTAGTTGATTTGCTCAGAAAGTCATTCATCTCTTCCCACATATTATTTTGCTTCATCTCTGATTCAGAAATTGGAGGAGGTGATGGTGTTTCTTCCACACCAAATCTCATGTTCAATGGTGGTGGATTCATTTTTACTAATCCGTTTTCATCATAATGTTTTTCTTGGTGATTCTCCATTTTTTTCTAATCGCGTTTAGGGTTGCAGAGTAAATTTTATAAGTATTTTTATAATAGAAGCTACCTCATATTTTATATAGGATAGGGTAGTTAAAAAATATTCAATGTCACCATATTTCTATGTTTTCTTGGGAATACTGTTTCAACCAACCTGTTTGACTTTTTCACTTTCGCTTTTGATAAATGGACATAATATTTACACAAGTCTTCTTCGTCCAATTCACATAACTTGTCTCATACAAAAATGTTTTAAAATTTGGATTTTCCTCTTTACAGTTTGATTTAAACCGCAATATATTGTAACATAATATTGTGCTCCGATAATTTCGAACTAATATTCTTATGAAGCAATTACATATATTCTGGATTTTTAAAAATATAATATGAAGGATATTGATATATTGTTGTTACTTTCTATAACGAGATGTATATTGCATCTTTAACTTATTCGTATATTCGTGTATGCCCTATTTAATCCATCTATATATTCACATCATACTTTTGTGAACTGCAACTTCATTTGTTACACTGAACAAAAATTCTCAATATTCTCCATTTCTACTGCTATGAACATGATAGGTAAGCCTTCTGCGTCCAACTTTATTCTATTAAGAATCCTTGGTATAGAACTATAGAGACTTACCCTTTATAACTTCTTATCATACATTATTTGTTTTCTTTTAACTGTTTTAACAAGTTCTTGTGATTGTTTTCAGAAATTATTCAATTTCATCTACCAAGAACAAATTCTCCCAAGTGAAACAAGGTGGACAAACTAATGAAAAATACAAAATTTATTGCTTGGATGGAGTGTAAAAAGATATATCCAACTGCCAGATTCATGCTCTACACTGAATTATCTCATCAATTTGTCTGGAATACCACATTGCATGAGTGGAGGCCACGGGTGAAAGGTTCAGGAAATCCAACTATTCTTCAACAGTATTCAATTTATGATGGGGAAATTTTTTATTTGGGTTGTCTGTTGAATATCATTAGAAGTCCTCGCAGTTATGAAGATATCCGAACAGTTAATGGTGTTGTATACACACCTTCAGAGAAGTTTGCTATGCAATGGGCTTATTCCCGGTCAATTAGATTTATATGTTTTTCTTAAGATTAGTTATAAAATTGCATGCTGAATCTTTATTTCAATAAGTTACTTTCATTTTGTTGTTTTTCATCGTCTTAATTTTTTAAATTACTTTTTATGTTGAATATATGAAATAGTAAGGAAATCATCTACTAAATACTACATTTTCCATCGTTATATATTACATAATCATTACAACAGTCAACCAATTAACATTTCATTAAATATACATTAACTTATAATTCATAATTTAGTTAATAAACTGTTATAATTGTAAGTTTAATGTATTGTTGATGCGAATTAATCGTAACTTAGTTGTTAATAAGATAAAATATATCTCAAATTTTGGAAATCTCTAATAAAATTGATCAACTTTTTAAATTTCATATTTAAATGAAATACATAATATAGAAAAATGCGATTTGTTGTTATTTTAGATAATTGCACAATATTAGATCGCATTCGATGTAAGTAACAATTTCCTACATAAGCAAGGACAATTTTTCCTAAAACTTCTAGTGAATAATAAAAAATCAACAATAACAAAAACTTATGGAAAACGGTATACATTTCTCATTACCTACTGTTCAAAATTACTTGTATTTCTACTCTATCCAGAATTTGGTATAAAGTACTAACAGTATACTTCTTGTCGAAAGTGAGATTTCAGAAGTAATATAATTACAATAACTCTATGGCAACACAATGAATAAAATTACTTATTCTGATGTGATTCTCCACAGATGCACAAAAAATATTATGTAGAAAAACGTGTATTTTTCTTTCATATAAACATATTTTTTGTACGTCTGTGTGAGGATCACATGAGAAGAATAATTGTAGTATGAGTTTTGTCTGAGTGAGTAATTTTTTGCTTGGTTAGTTGATCAAAATTCTCTTATGGTGTATATTTATAGAATTCGTACAGAGTGACTCCTCATTTTTCTTCGATGTGTTTCATATTTCCCAAAAGTCCTTTATAATTAAAACATATTAAATAACATTTGACTGATTTATCACAATTTCCAAATGAAGAACAATTCGAAATAAATGAATACATCTTCACATAAAATCTATAAAATATGTTCATATATGTCACATTTTGATGAATAACTTACGAACATAAAATTAATGTATGTATTCATAATTACATGTATTCTTTATCTGCACTTTCTTCATTATACATACCTAATTATAATTACTTAGAATTTATAATTACAAACATGAGCCAATTGTAAGACACAATCCAATTCTTATACTAATAACATACCATTCAGCCCAAAATTAGTAACATTTTACCCACACACACTGTCAAATATCAATATTATAACACTCGACCCAGAAACTTAACAATATACCCAAAAAAATTAAAATTTTAAAAAACATTCAAGCCTGCACATGCGTGCGGGCCAGTATCCTAGTATATATATAAATACTAAGCATCATAATATTGGAAAGAATTATTATGAATGGAAATAACACAACAAGATTTTTTTTTGGTTGATACTTAATATACAAACACTTTGATTCAAATGATTGTGAACAAATAATATTTGAAGCAGTGGGATCATTGACAATATCAATTGTTTTGTTAATTGTAATCCTTGTTAATTTTTCAAATTTGAACAAACCGTTCTTTTTACCATTCTGAATCCATGATGGAAATATCACCAATATTAGGAAAATGATTAACCTCGCCACAATATCGAAATCAAATACCAAAACTGAATAAAATTGTAAACGCCTTATTTATAACCTGAAAATTATAATATAAAATCTAATTCAATAAGATAATTATTAGAAATATTGATAACACCATATTTCGAACTTTTATGGATGACTTTAAGAACTTATTCAGGTGTTTTAACTTAGTTTTCAATGGTTTTAAAGTGATTTCCATATTTTAAAATTTTAAAAGAGTTTTCAAGATATTTATACAAAAAGAATGCATTTTGGAATAAAAATACAATTTTGGATAAATTTAAGCCGTTGGAAGTTTGATAACAAATGAACACCTTCCCACCGTCTGATCATCCCCAAATGTGGACACAAGATAGAAAAGTCAACCAGATTTCCAATGCAAAGCAATCTAACTGTTAGATCTCCATTTATGCTCGTTGCACTGAAGGCGAATCAACACAGTCTGGAAGTCGAGGAAGTTCCCACCCGCGGCCGGAAGACCATCCACCGCGGCTGCGACTTTATAGACCGCGGAAAGCCTATTTCCATGCCTCAAAAGCCCATTTTAAAGCCCAAGACGTTCTCGTCATTATTCCTGCGAATCCTAGTCATTCCCGAAGACTCCATACACTATATATATATATATCTCTTTTAGGTCATTCAGAGAGGGTGTGCCCAAGTCAGCCGATTTTCACCAAGAGCTTTAGAGAGTAGCCGCCCACGAAGAGGAGCCACCAAGAGGGGTACCATCGCATCTCCTTCTTCATATCGTATTTCATTCCTTTACTTTTCTCTATTTCAATTTACGGCAACCTTTATACTTTTGTGATGTTAAACTTAGCTATGTCTGAGTAATTTCCCAGTTGGGTTGTAAAGGGATTTTTTAAAGGGAATCTCATGTCTTTATCTGATGAATTGTTAGTTTTAGGGTTTATAATCTTCTAGAAGTCCTTCGTTCATTCTTGTTCTTAATGCATGTTTTTTGTTTTTTGCTAGCCACTTAGAAACTGATCTTAGGTTTAACTGGAGCCACGAGAGTGTTTTATCGGATTACCTGACCTAGAAGGGATACGAGCGAATCGTTATAGGAGACGAAGGCTACCTATAGAGAGTTGTGAGCGTAGACAAATTCTGATAGTAATGCATGATCTTATTTGCGGCAAGAGACGAAAGCTATTTGTCGTGTTTGAGTAATGAGTTGATTAGGGTGACGAGAGTTGGCTAATAATACATGTGCCTATTCGAGTTCAGGAACCTCACTAGTTGATTACCTTTATCGATTTATTTGTCTATCATTAAATCAGTTCATGAACCCCTGAGAATACCCTTAAGCCTAGCGTTTAGTTTTTTTTATCGTTTTACAACCTTTTAATATTGACTTGCATCTTTGATTTAGTGACATCGAAACCAAAACCCCCCCCCCATTTTGTTTGTTTTATTAGTTTTAAGTATTTGATTGATGCGCACTGAAACTCAAAATCTCTGTGGTTCGACCCCTAAATATTACAACGTACATCTGTGCATTTGCAGATATTTAGGGTTTATAAATTTAAAACGTGAAGCTAGAAGTAACCCTTGCATCCTCTAACATCAAGTTTTTGGCGCCGTTGCTGAGGATTTTGATCTCTTTCGTTGCAAATCTCTGCTTATTTCTATAGAAAAATTTCTTACTTTTACTTTTCTTTGCCTTTTTCAGGTACTTTTCAATGGAAGATCAGAAAAAACTTCCTGATCCTCTCGATGATAAGCCACCTCTTCTAGATGGTGATTCATCTGATGATGAGCTTAATGACTCAATCGATGATGGCAATGGTGCGATTGGAGAACCAAAACATACCAAGAAAGGTGAACAAATGATTAGTGAGCGCGACATAGCTCACAAATTATTTGAAGATAGATGTGCAATACGACTACCCTTACTCGAGGATGGAGATTCTGAAGATAGGGTACACTACATTAGTACTTAAACAATTAAAATATAATAGTTATCCCACAGAACACCCAATAGATCATATTGAATCATTTGAAGAACTCTGTACAACCATAGCAAAAAATGTAGATTACCATATGTGCATTCTTTTTCAATTTTCTTTGACTGGTAGAGCTAGTAAATGGCTTAAAACTTTGCCGTTTGTGTCAATAAAGATGTGGAAAGAGTGTAGAGAGGCTTTCCTAAGTCACTTTTACACTCGAGATCGTTCCAAACTCTTAAGGAATAAGATACAAAAATTTCAGCAGGAGGACACAGAAGACCTCTACGATGCTTGGGAAAGATTCAGAGATGACCAGAGAGATTGTCCACATCATAGATTTTCTGAAGAACGTTGACTGGCAATTTTCTACCAAGGGGTTAATGAAGAGTTAAAAACATCTTTTGACACCTTTAGCAATGGAGATTTCTCACTAAATATGTAGATGAGGCTCACGCCTTTATTACTAATCTAGCAGGAAACATCAGAAACAGAATACTCCTAATCCAATCTCGACATCCTAAGGTCAAGCAAGAAGACTCATATGTTATGAAATGTCTTTATTCAATAATGGGATAATCTTAAGATGCAAAAACCTGATAAGTCTTGCTCAACGCATAACTTTGATGACTGGAGCAACCATATTGAGCCTTTTGATGATAAAATGAAAAACTATGGAGTTAGGAAGAACTTTCAAAATCAGGAGATGATGAAGACTGCTGAAGGTTACCAAATTGAAAGAATTGACCGAAATCAGGCCCACCGCGGGTGCGACCCTTTCAACCGCGACCCATGTGATTTTCACCGAGGTCACGACGATCTGAACTGCGGCCAAGAGGAGTTTCACCACGGGTGCGATGAGTTGAACCACGGCCAGCCTTCATTCCAACTTCTTCTTGAGCAAATACAACATGTTCAATCTATTTCAGTACTCCCTTCTTATTTTCCTTTTTCCAAGGTTGAAAAAACTAGAAGAAGTTTATAAACATAAGAAATCCAGGGAAGCAGATTTAGAAAGGCTGCATGCAAAGCTCGAAAAAGCATTTGAAGAGCTTGGAAAAAGAAAAGAGGATGTTAACATCACACTTTCCACCCTTCTCTCTATAGTTAAAGATGAATCAAAGGAGACAGATTTGTGTGTTTATGATCTTGATAATCCTTTTTTCTGAAAACACGAATGAATTGGAACCTTCTGATCACTTAAAAGCAATTAATCTTAGGAGTGGTTTAGCTTACAAAGAACCAGAGTACCCAAAAGATTTTGATGATTACTCCTCATTGATATCTGTGGATATCGGGTAAATCCGAAACCAAACCGATATCAGATCAGATATTTGAATTACCTAAAATATAATTATCTAGTTTAAAAATATTAAATATATTATGAGGTTTTAAATATATGTTTGGTATTTATATATTTTCTTTATAGTTTTCAGATATATTTTTAGATTTTTTGGTATATTTTTTGAATTTTCCGATATATTTTCGAGTTTTCGAGTATATTTTTGGGTATTCGAATCTATTTCGAGTATTCATATATAATAAAATATCCAAACCAGTTATGAAAAAAAAATTTTGGATATCTATCGGTTTAGAAATTTTGGAACCGAACCGATCCAGAACCGAATGGTATCGAAACAAAACCGAATTGAAAATATCGATACCTATATAGATCCTAAACATCACTACCCGAAATATCCGGAACCGATCGACACCAATCCGGAACTAAACCGAATACCCGAATATCCAGCTTTAATCATAATATTGGAATGATTTATTATGAAAGGAAATACACAACAGGAGTTTTTTTTTTTGATACTTCAAATACAAACATTTTTTTATTCAAATAATTGTGAACAAATAATATTTGAAGCAGTGGATCGTTGACAATATTAATTGTATTGTTAGTTGGAATCCTTCTAAATTTTTCAAAATGGAAAAAACTGTTCTTTTTATGATCGTCAGTCCGATGATATATGGAACTACCAATATAGGGAAAAATGAAAAACCTCACCACTATATTAAAATCAAATACCAAAACTGAATAAAAATTTAAACGCCTTATTTATAATCTTGGTCCTAAGGCTCAAGGCTCTGGTTAAATCTTTACTTTGAAGTTGAATCCAAATTCATGAATTAAACTATGGAAAATTAAAGAGAACTTCATTTATTTTTGAAATATTTTATTATTATTATAACTTTTGAACTCAATACATCTGTTAATTCTTTTATTCATCTAGCAGTATGACTTGGCTAAGTCACTTAGCTAGCAAAACTCAAATCATTCTCCTAAAAGTTAATCTTCCCATCAAAAGTCTGATCAAATCCCCAATTTTTTGGTACCACATTAATAAAATCCTTACTAATCCCATCACTCGTCACAACCCTAAACGATAAGCCTTGTCCGGTTAACACAACATCAGTGACCCAGTTCTGTCCCCAATTCTTCTTCATGGTTATCCATCCAGTTCCGCTTCCTTTAATCTGCATGGCCTTGATATCTCCGGCTCCTCCTACATTGTACGGCAAGATCATTAAGAAATTAGGGTTTCCTTTGGTTTCGAACTTGACACCGCCGGTTTTTGCGCAAGGAATACGCCTGTATTTAACCGGGATAACCCCAGCTTTGTATTGTGCGATCTTGAGGAATATTGGTAGGGAGAGGTCAAAGTGTTTCTGTGGTGGATTGCACCATACGCCTGTCGTCTTGGTGTAGTTTGCTAGACAGAAATTTGTAGCTGTAATCTTGATGGATCCGGGCAAACACCATTTTGGATCATTCGTGCACATGATCTCGAAACAAGCCCCACACGTGTACCCGTCATTGAAAAGCGCCTGGCTCAACGCCGCCGTGGCTAGACCATAGCCTTGTTTGTTTAGGTCACCGTATCCACAAGCTCCCTCTATTGAATTTACAATGAAAAAAAGTGAGTGTACGATAAAAAAAAATAGAACAGAAGTATATGATAATTATAGTATAATGTTTTGCTCCTCCAAATGAATTACGCCTTAAGAATTTTAGATATTTTGAACAAGCTCCAAATGAATTACATTATCTCAATAATTAAATTCGAATAAAATATTGGCAATTGAAGACTTACGCTGAGTGCCTCCACCATGGATATCACCGTAAAATGTGGCTCGTGCGTCATACCAAGTAGGGTCGAGTCCATTGGTTCCACTTCCAGGTGAGTTGGCTACATCACCAACCATCGGGGCCTCAGCTCCATGACCGTAACTGATGGGCACGAACCATATCGCCATTGTTATCAACAAAACATTTGTACATATCATTATTTCTAAGAGTTTCATGTTTTTTTTTTTTTGTTTATCTCTTTTTAATGATACTCTCTCTTTTACTTTTTATTGATGATTAATACTAATGAGAATGTGGGTGTATTTATAGGAGAGAATGGAAGTAACTTTGGTAATTTTGTAAATATGTTTTAAATCTCTCTAAATGTGCATATACTTTACTAAATGATAGTAACTATGTTGAAGTTTTTGTAGTCAATCTGCATCCTCAATTCCTCATACGTGATTACATTGCCAATATATTGTAATTAATACTTTTCTAAGTTACATGTAGTTAGTTTATTTCTTCGAGTCTCTTCACAACTTACTATTACGTTCAAAATATAATATATTGGAAAGTTTATCATGAAGATTGACTACTAACGTGTTCGTACACCTACTAAATTAGGCAAAAAGTAATGCGAAGATTTAATATTGTAATAAGAATATTGTAAACATTTTACTGCAAAAATAACTTAACCGGCTGTGACAATCGAAAAAAAAATCACTTCAAACACTTGAAATGAAAGATTTCTGTTAAATTTTAGAAAATTACTGGCTAACAGTATATTAACAACCTGTAAATACAAACAAAGATAACAGAGGTTAGTAAGAAAGAATAGACAATCTATTATATTTATTAGGTGAATACCCACATATATACATGCGGGTTTTTATATTCAACTATTTCAAATATATATTATTATATTCTCATAAAAATTAATATAATAATGATTTGTTACTTATTTGTATGTTATTACAAACATATTTTAAATTTTAAAATTTTAGAATATATATTAAATATTACTAAGTAATATAGAATTATATAAAAAAATTTAAAAAATCTATCAATATTTTAAATTTATTTATAACATAAATTTGTATTTAACATTTATATAATGTTATTTAAGAGTAAATTAATAATAAACCTTTAAATTTTTTTAAATGGTAATTTAATCTTTAAATTTATTAATTATAATTTAAGAGGACAAATATCACTTTCTCCACTGCTAATAAGGCATTTAGCTAGAGAAAGTTAAGCAACTTAGCTAGAAAAAAAACCCGCGTAGACATACGGATATATTCAAATGATTTTTCTTTGGTCTGATGTTCTATCATTTCTAAGATAGTAATTGATTATATTTTATTTATTTGAATATATTCCAATACATATTTGCTACATAGTAACTATTCATACCTTTTGTAATATTGAATGTGACTTGCTTTTCCCTACTTTTCATCTTATTCTTTATTATGGTTTCTTTCTTTGTTATTTGATTCTTCTGTATTTGTTTGAACTTGACGAAGATCTTTCAATGGGCGAGTTACATTATTCCACAACCTTGAAGGATTGATAACTTTACAATGTATTATCATCGTGACAAATAGTTTTTTTCAATTGATCTGGGGTAACCCATTGTAATGCATCTTTCGTTGCTTGATGCCAATCGTTTTCTTTCTCCAATGTCCATAGCCACATCATTTTTTTAAAAAAAAATTGTATTCCAAGTGAAAGATTTTAGAATTTTCTCATGTTTCAGTGCTTGCCGATTGATGCTTCCCTCGTCATGTTGTTTTTAAATTGTTTTTTTTTTCATTGTGAATGATTTGTAATATAATCGTTGGTAGGCTTAATTTATTTTGTTTGATAATATATTGTCCCTGTTGATGTGAGACTCTCTTTGTATTTACGTTATATGCCATCAAAATTAAAATTGTTTCCAACCTTTCCCCATCGGTCTTCAATCATCTTTTTCTATCTTCTTCTACCTTCCCTTCACTAAAATTACCCTTGATCAGCATTCAAGTACTGTATTTATCATAACAATCACCTCTCTCGCAGATTTAGTCATACATCTTCTGTACATCATCAAGTCTCCACTTTTCAACAAGAATGGTTGATGAATCTAGCAACGTTCCCAATTTTTTCGGCGTCGATGTTTATTCTTAAACAAGCTTGTCCTGAAGGGAGGTGTGCACGTATGACCAAAAGAGCTGAAGTGATAGATTGTGTTGATTTGAGTTTGTCGTAGATATTTTGACGTCTTCGTGCTTCTGTAGTTAATAGCTCACCTGTAAGAAGAGAAAACAACAATCAGCTTTTGACTTATGCATAAACCTGTCTAAACTGAATCCAAAAACTCTCACGTGATGTACAAAATGACCAGTAAGACAGATCACATAAACACATTCATGTAAAAGGATTTGCTGTTATCTTTAGTCTCCAAAAGATCAAATCTTACACAATAATTTTTAGTGGATATTACTAAATAATAATTCTAAAATGTCATCCCAATGCTCCGACCTAAATCTTCAAACTCATATGCTTTCGAACTTAATCCTAATAACTAATGCTAATGTGATATGCCAAGAAGAGCTTACTTCAGGAAAGCAAAGAAGACTGTTGCTGAGCTGGAATAGAGATGCAGAGCTGGACCAATCGGAGATGAAGAGCTTACTTTAGTAGTCTCTCAACATGGTTTTCAAATGAGCATCCAGAACGCTTCCAGCTTCTGTTGAGCTTTCTCCTGTTATTTACACCAATATTCCACATGTGTGAGAGATAGGATGATCAAATAACTTCTACTTTAGTTCTCGTATGGTGGTAATAGATACAGATCATGTAATTTGAGAATCAAATAGACCTTTCAAAGTAAATGACTTTTCGGACTTACCATCGGTGTACAACTTTGCTACCCCTTTCTCTGCTTCTTCTTTAGATAGAGGGTGTATAGTTTGGTCTCTCAGTGTCCTTAAACATGTATAAGGCCAGTAAGGGGGAAGAAAATATGCCATTCCCTAATCCAAATTCTTTGATATCCAATGATGGTTTGTCAAGTCTTCCACATACAGTGGGCCAGATATGTCTTTCCACTACCATTTGGACCTGAGATATTTGCTAGCCATCAATTTCTAAACAGGGGTAATGATATCCACCCCAGAAAAGGAAAGTTGATCTTGAGAATCGAAAACGACACCAACATTACTATGCTTAAACAGTTCCAATATATATGATCAACCCAAGTACAGACTGTCTATATGGAAAGAGTGCGTGAACGTATAGTACACAAAGCACCAAGACTTAGTAACGCCTTGTTAAAGTTTGAACCTATAAATGTCGTAGTACCTGACTGGAAAGCATCCAAAAATTCATCGAGCTCAAAAGTTCTGTTTACCAGCAGAGAGCTCAAGGGACTTCTTCTGTAATTCAAGAATATCACCAAACACCACAAAGCTTTGTGAGAAACAGAAGCTAGATACCGAAATGCATGTGCTAATTCAACTGGTATCAAAGGCATCATGTAAGAATATGTTATAAACCCTACAACAAGTTGCAAGCAATAACATCGGCCACAGAACCGTAAAACTCAACTACATAATTAAAAATCTCGACGACTTTACTTAACAAGCCTGATTCAGCATACGCGTGAAGAACATGGGCAACCAAGAAAATATTCAATCATGACGAAAGCACGACCACAAATCCTATTCCACCCAATGAAGCAATCCAAAGGTCAGTAAATTATATTCCACATTTCTAACATTTATTAGAATATGATCAATACCAACATTAGTATGCTTAAACAGTTGATTTAACTCCAAATACGAAGACAATGGTGGTAGAACTGTAGATAATCCTATACTTGACCTCAAAGACCTTTGCCAAGTAAATTAAATGCTACAATTTGTAGGAGAAAGAACCCTAATGCTTATACCTCAGAAATTATCTGACACGCCCTGAACCTAGCGTTTCTATTCACATCCACAGAACCAGTAATTAGAAACTTGAGAAATTTATCTAAAAAATCGTCCCAATCAAAATCAACATCTGAATTACTACGCAGACAAGCAAATTCCGCCACGAAATGGACAATACGCTTCGCTGCTGCGGTTGAGCTGCAATGAAAAGAATGGTTAGGGTTTTGAAAAATCGCTAAGAGAATCAATGAATGGAAGACGGCTCAACATCAGACTCAGACAAAGATAGTTTCGACCTGATTGTGGCAAGCTCCTACAGCGTCCAGTTATGAGTAGCGTAGATTTTTCCGATGTAAGTGCTCTATATAAATATGGGTCTTGAGTCCTTCTCGCTGGGTTCCTATACTCTCGTTCCTCTGATAGCAAATTTATGATTATTGGGAACTTGAGCAGTCGAGAAGAGAGGCAGATGCAAAGAAGGGAAGAAGTTAGGGGAGATGAAAAGAAAGAAACGAAATGAAACGTAACTAAAGGAATGTTAAATTTTAGGAGAAAAAAGGTTTAAGTTTACTGGACACGTGGCACTCTACGTTGCATAAAGCTGGAGAGAGTTCGCTAACTTTTATAGTATAGATTTTGACTCCGCAAATGTTTTTTTTGCATAACTTATATACTGTTAACTGTTTAAATCATATTTTAGTACCAAAAAAAACTTTGATTTTATTTCACATCTAACATAATTTTAATTTGGAAAAACAAATCCCAATTTTTATTCATACGTCAATAATAATACTATTAACATAGAAAATCTATTTTATCAATAATATAGCATGACTATATAAAAAAAACATAAAAGAGATAACAAATTGAACAATTTAAAAATATATACTGTCTATAAAAAAATATAGAAGCTTCTGTGCATTTTGCTCATCTATATATTAACTCATTATTTACAATGTTACATTCATCTCCAACTGAGTATGAATTTGATAAGTGTAATAGACTGCTAAAGGACATGAGTATATTAAGGGTGAAAAATTAATATAATGAGATATTTTATATATATTTTCTATATATTTTGTTATTTTTTTTTATAAATTTTTTTGTTAAAATCAAATTTATAAAAATAGATGTTCTATACTTTCAAACAAACAAGACGCTGGAAGAGAAAGTGTCAACTCTAATGTTAATTTTTTTTTTAATATAGGCATTCAATAAAGTATTAGATCTTCCATACACATTTACAAAAGAGTGAAGATGAAAACTCACACTCCACCAAAAACAGACTCTGCTAGCGATTACGTACTTGAAAAAGAGGTGAAACTGACAAGGAGAGAAAAGTAAAAGTCCAAATTGATCTCATTGGTTTTTTTGAATCTGGGTACTCCTTGATATGGTTTTGATGTGGAAAACACATATTGACCTCTCTTAAGTTAATTTCTGATGAGATTCCATGTGGATTCGGTAAAAGAGGGGCTACAGTGGACTATTGGTATTGAGTCGGCAAGAGAAGCTGCACGGAAAAAAAATTTGTGTGAGGTTGTCGATACGGCGGTGGCGACAAGTTTGCAGCAGCGAGGAATTAGAGAGGTAAAGAATATGTAGAAGAGAGAGAGATGAGAGATTTATGAAAAAAGATTTACGTTCGCATGAGTATAGTTGAATTATTGTCGGTTATTGTTTGTGTGAGAGGTAGAGAATCTGTAAGAGAGAGAGTGATGTTCAAAAGTATAGTAGTATATATTATATATTATATATATAGAATATAGAACCATCTTTCTTATATGGTTATTCTCTTAATTATTGAGTTATTGTTGGTTATTAATTGTAATTTTCCGAAGCAATAACACTTGGAAATATGAAAGTGGGTTTTTAGAAAATATAGAAAGCTGGTACGTATTGTCTATATATATATATATATATATATATAAATACTAAGCATCATAATATTGGAATGAATTATTATAAAAAGAAATAACAAAACGAGATTTTTTTTGGTTGATACTTAATATACAAACACTTTGATTCAAATGATTGTGAACAAATAATATTTGAAGCAGTGGGATCATTGACAATATCAATTGTTTTGTTAATTGTAATCCTTGTTAATTTTTCAAATTTGAACAACCCGTTCTTTTTACCATTCTGAATCCATGATGGAAATATCACCAATATTAGGAAAATGATTAACCTCGCCACAATATTGAAATCAAATACCAAAACTGAATAAAATTGTAAACGCCTTATTTATAACCTGAAAATTATAATATAAAATCTAATTCAACAAGATAATTATTAGAAATATTGATAACACCATATTTCGAACTTTTATGGATGACTTTAAGAACTTATTCAGGTGTTTTAACTTAGTTTTCAATGGTTTTAAAGTGATTTCCATATTTTAAAATTTTAAAAGAGTTTTCAAGATATTTAGACAAAAAGAATGCATTTTGGAATAAAAATACAATTTTGGATAAATTTAAGCCGTTGGAAGTTTGATAACAAATGAACACCTTCCCACCGTCTGATCATCCCCAAATGTGGACACAAGATAGAAAAGTCAACCAGATTTCCAATGCAAAGCAATCTAACTGTTAGATCTCCATTTATGCTCGTTGCACTGAAGGCGAATCAACACAGTCTGGAAGTCGAGGAAGTTCCCACCCGCGGCCGGAAGACCATCCACCGCGGCTGCGACTTTATAGACCGCGGAAAGCCTATTTCCATGCCTCAAAAGCCCATTTTAAAGCCCAAGACGTTCTCGTCATTACTCCTGCGAATCCTAGTCATTCCCGAAGACTCCATACACTATATATACCTCTTTTAGGTCATTCAGAGAGGGTGTGCCCAAGTCAGCCGATTTTCACCAAGAGTTTTAGAGAGTAGCCGCCTAAGAAGAGGAGCCACCAAGAGGGGTACCATCACATCTCCTTCTTCATATCGTATTTCATTCATTTACTTTTCTCTATTTCAATTTACGGCAACCTTTATACTTTTGTGATGTTAAACTCAGCTATGTCTGAGTAGTTTCCCAGTTGGGTTATAAAGGGATTGTTTAAAGGGAATCTCATGTCTTGATCTGATGAATTGTTAGATTTAGGGTTTATAATCTTCTAGAAGTCCTTCGTTCATTCTTGTTCTTAATGCATGTTTTTTTTTTGCTGGCCACTTAGAAACTGATCTTAGGTTTAATTGGAGCCACGAGAGTGTTGTATCGGATTACCTGACCTAGAAGGGATACGAGCGAATCGTTATAGGAGACGAAGGCTACATATAGAGAGTTGTGAGCGTAGAAAAATTCTGATAGTAATGCATGATCTTATTCGCGGCAAGAGACGGAAGCTTTTTGTCGTGTTTGAGTAATGAGTTATTAGGGTGATGAGAGTTGGCTAATCATACATGTGCCTATTTGAGTTCAGGAACCTCACTAGTTGATTACCTTTATCGATTTATTTGTCTATCATTAAATCAGTTCATGAACCCCTGAGAATACCCTTAAGCCTAGCGTTTAGTTTTTATCGTTTTACAACCTTTTAATTTCGACTTGCATCTTTGATTTAGTGACATCGAAACCAAAACACCCCATTTTGTTTGTTTTATTAGTTTTAAGTATTTGATTGATTCGCACTGAAACTCAAGATCTGTGTGGTTCGACCCCTAAGTATTACAACGTACATCTGTGCATTTGCAGATATTTAGGGTTTATAAATTTAAAACGTGAAGCTAAAAGTAACCTTTGCATCCTCTAACATTAAGTTTTTGGCGCCGTTGCTGAGGATTTTGATCTCTTTTGTTGCAAATCTCTGCTTATTTCTATAGAAAATTTTCTTACTTTTATTTTCTTTGCCTTTTTCAGGTACTTTTCAATGGAAGATCAGAAAAAACTTCCTGATCCTCTCGATGATAAGACACCTCTTCTAGATGGTGATTCATCTGATGATGAGCTTAATGACTCAATCGATGATGGCAATGGTGCGATTGGAGAACTAAAACATACCAAGAAAGGTGAACAAATGATTAGTGAGTGCGACACAGCTCACAAATTCTTTGAAGATAGACGTGCAATACGACTACCCTTACCCGAGGATGGAGATTCTGAAGCTAAGGTACACTACATTAGTACTTAAACAATAAAAATATAATAGTTATCCCACAGAACACCTAATAGATCATATTGAATCATTTGAAGAGCTGTGTTCAACCATAGCAAAAAATGTAGATTACCATATGTGCATTCTTTTTCAATTTTCTTTGACTGGTAGAGCTAGTAAATGGCTTAAAACTTTGCCGCCTGTGTCAATAAAGACGTAGCTTTTCTTTGAGTTAAAAGATCACCAATCCAAGACAAAAATATTCGGAGGATTTTTGGCCTAATTCTTCTTCTGATCATCGATTTAACCTCTGATCAAAAAGATGGTATTTTCTTCATCAAAATTATAATCATAATTGTTTTGAGGAAACGTCTACAATAATTAGTCTTGGACAATTTTTTTGCCACTCCCTTTGGCAGCATCCACTAATTCTGAACTTAATAAGAGTGTAGAGAGGCTTTCCTAAGTCACTTTTACACTTGAGATAATTCAAAACTCTTAAGGAATAAGATACAAAATTTTCAGCAGGAGGACACAGAAGACCTCTACGATGCTTGGGAAAGATTCAGAGACGACTAGAGAGATTGTCCACATCATAGATTTTCTAAAGAACGCTTACTGACAATTTTCTACCAAGGGGTTAATGAAGAGCTAAAACATCTTTTGACACCTTTAGCAATGAAGATTTCTCACTAAATATGTAGATGAGGCTCACACCTTTATTACTAATCTAGCAGGAAACATCAGAAACAGAAGACTCCTAACCCAATCTCGACATCCTAAGGTCAAGCAAGAAGACTCATATGTTATGAAATGTCTTTATTCAATAATGGATAATCTTAGGATGCAAAAACCTGATAAGTCTTGCTCAACGCATAACTTTGATGACTGGAGCAACCATATTGAATCTTTTGATGATAAAATGAAAAACTATGGAGTTAGGAAGAACTTTCAAAATCAGGAGATGATGAAGACTGCTGAAGTTTACCAAATTGAAAGAATTGACCAAAAGCCCCACCGCGGGTGCGACCCTTTCAACCGCGACCCATGTGATTTTCACCGAGGTCATGACGTTCTGAACTGCGGCCAAGAGGAGTTTCACCACGGGTGCGATGAGTATAACCACGGCCAGCCTTCATTCCAACTTCTTCTTGAGCAAATACAACATGTTCAATCTATTTCAGTACTCCCTTCTTATTTTCCTTTTTCCAAGGTTGAAAAACTAGAAGAAGTTTATAAACTTAAGAAATCCAGGGAAGCAGATTTAGAAAGGCTGCATGCAAAGCTCGACAAAGCATTTGAAGAGCTTGGAAAAAGAAAAGAGGATGTTAACATCACACTTTCCACCCTTCTCTCTATAGTTAAAGATGAATCAAAGGAGACAGATCCATGTGTTTATGAT